CGGATTCAAGTACCTGTATCTCAACGACGAGGCCAAACGCCGGTTCGAGAGTGAGGTCATCACCGAGGAAATCACGGAGGACGGCGAAAAACGCCACAAGATCGTCACGATCGTGGGTGCCGAGGATGGTTTGGGCGTCGAATGCTTGCGCGGGTCCGGCTTGATCGCCGGTGCCACGAGCAGGGCTTACAACGACATCTTCACCTGCACGCTCGTGACTTGCCGCTCTGTTGGTAAGTTCATGTCCCGCAAATCCTGCGTCTCGTCTCACGCAAGCTAACTTATGTAGGTATCGGTGCGTACCTTGTGCGTCTCGGCCAGCGTGCTGTGCAAATTGAGGGCCAACCGATTATCCTCACCGGCGCTCCAGCGCTCAACAACCTGCTCGGTCGTGAGGTTTACACGTCCAACCTGCAACTCGGCGGCACTCAGATCATGTACCGTAATGGCGTCTCTCACTTGACCGCCAACGACGACTTTGCCGGTGTCTCGAAGATTGTTGAGTGGATGTCGTTCATCCCCGACAAGCGTAACAGCCCTCTCCCCATCCGGGCTAGCATTGACGACTGGGATCGCGATGTCGTCTACACCCCGCCGCAAAAGCAGCCTTACGATGTGAGGTGGATGATTGCCGGCAAGCAGGATGAGGATGGCTTCCAGCCCGGCCTGTTCGACAAGGATTCGTTCGTCGAGACGCTGGGTGGCTGGGCTCGCACTGTGGTGGTCGGCCGCGCCCGTCTCGGCGGCATCCCCATGGGTGTTATTGGCGTGGAGACTCGCTCGGTCGAAAATATCACGCCCGCCGATCCTGCCAACCCCGACTCGATTGAGCAGCTTACCAACGAGGCCGGTGGTGTGTGGTACCCCAACTCGGCGTTCAAAACGGCTCAGGCCATCAACGACTTCAACCACGGTGAGCAGCTCCCGCTCATGATCCTCGCCAACTGGCGTGGTTTCTCGGGCGGCCAGCGCGACATGTACAACGAGGTTCTCAAGTACGGCTCTTTCATCGTGGATGCCTTGGTCAAGTTTGAGCAGCCCGTGTTCATCTACATTCCGCCCTTCGGCGAGCTGCGCGGTGGCTCGTGGGTCGTCGTGGACCCGACCATCAACCCCACGTTCATGGAGATGTATGCGGATACGGAGGCCCGCGGCGGTGTCCTGGAACCTGAGGGCATCATCGGCATCAAGTACCGGAAGGACAAGCAGCTCGAGACGATGGCCCGCCTCGACCCTCTGTACGCCAGCCTGAAGAAGCAGATGGCCAGCGAGGGCCTGTCCAAGGAGGAGGCGGACAACATCAAGAAGCAGATGACAGAGCGCGAACAGCAACTCCTCCCGGTCTACGCCCAGATCAGCCTGCAGTATGCCGACCTGCACGACCGCGCCGGGCGCATGAAGGCCAAGGGTGTCATCCGCGAGGTACTGGAGTGGCGCGAGGCCCGTCGCTTCTTCTACTGGCGCGTGCGCAGAAGACTCAACGAGGAATACACTCTTCGTCGTATCAACAACGCCACCTCCCCCGGTGCTGCCCACGCCAAGGACGCAGGCGCCCACGCACTGGTCTCGACCGAGGCCCGCAAGCGCCACCTGCACCTGCTCGAGGCCTGGTCCGGCATCCCCAACTTTGCCACTGACGACCGCGCCGTGGCGGAGTGGTACGAGGCGAACAGGAAGCTTGTGCACGACAAGGTGGACGCGCTCAAGAAGGAGGCCATCGCCGACGAGATGAGGGATCTCGTGCGCGTCGGCAGCGACGGCGCCGACGCCACTGAGGGTGCTGCCTGGAAGGGTGTGCGCGACATGCTGCGTGTGATGCCGGTGGAGGAGCGCGATAAGGTGCTTGAGTTTTTGAAGCAGGTTTAAGTTCTTAGACTTGGGCGGTTAGGTTGGGGGAGGGTGGAAACAACGGTTAGTTTAGATCTTGGGGCAATAGTGTTTTGCGGGCTTGGGAGGCTTGTGTGTGATGGGTGGTGGCTTGGCTTGTATGGTTAGCGTGATGAGCGAATGATAATGTTGTCTGGTATTGCGTCTTGCTGGGCTGTTTGTTCTGTGGCTGTCTGCGGTGTGGTTGTGCTGGCCCTGTGATAGTTGGTTTGTGTTGCTTGTGGTGAGTTGGTTGTGTTGCTCGTGGTTTGGTTGGTTGTACGAATATTGCTCGTGGTTTGGTTGGTTGTATTGCTCGTGGTCTGCTAGGAGTAAGTTACTAAGCCAAGGTTAAGGGTTTCCAATGACTGACTCTGCGAAGTATGTTCAGGCAGTGGTTAAGTGGCGCCTGGTGAGGATGAGCACTACTGAAGGGCCAGATTAGAGTGCGTACCTCGGGTGTTTGAGAGGTTGGGTTATTGAGGGCGGAAACGGATGAAATCTGAATGGTTCGGAGGGGGGCCTGGGACCGAGAGCACCAACTAACTGCCTCTGGCATCGGTCGATGACAGTCTCTTAGGTGCGTTCACGCGAACGGACCAGAGGGAGGAACTATGGGTGAGATCCTGGTGTATGACGTGGTATTGTTCCAACGTTCCCCAACGGGAGCCGGTTGTCGTTATGAGATCCGCCACAACTTTCTTATGAATTCTGTTGGTGTGTCAATGTGTCAACACCACCATTCTTCCCCTGGGTCTGACAACTTATTTTTGTGAAAGACCACCGCACCAAGGACAACAATGGGCATGCAATCCTGTATTGGGGGCTAATATGGTCACCTGGGGCCTGTTCAGGTTACAGACTACTTCCATCTTGCGAGCCCCTCAAGGCTCCCTCGTTCCTTTCGTTTGAAGTTTGCCCATACGTGCCATACAATGACCCAGCCCTCCCGTGGTTACCCTAAACGAAACCGTCTAGATGTATCGGGGATTCCATGCCCAGCCGGGGCTGCTTGCATGGTTGGCGTTACCAGTATGACCTGGGCCTCCCTTCCCCCGTTGGCAATCGGCATGGAACCTCATCTTGTTACTGCTAGGGAAGGGCGTTCCCTTTCCCTGTGCTGGGTTCCGCAAGGCCTCCATTCGTGTTACGGTCCGAATATTGTAGGGTTGGTAATATCCCGGCGCGCTAAAGATAGTGTAGCAGGTGGAACAACGGGAGCATGCGGCTGGTGAGAGGTTGTGCAAGATCAGAGCTGACATGTGTTTGGTCGCAATACTACCTACCTACCGGGTATGAGTTAGGCTTTATAACGGAACGGTGTTAGAAGGTTGGTAACCCCCTTGTGGCTTTACCCACCGTACAAGGAGGGATTCTGCGGCTCGTGGTAGGTTGTACAGATCTGAGACAGCACATGGAGTTTGTGTCCAGCCGTGACCGGGAGGGAGTGTTGGCTGCGGTGATGGTAGCAATCTATTGGCGACATCCCCTGTTTGGGAACATCTAAGCATTGTGAACATGGACAAAACAATCATGGTTACGCCGCTTACCTATGTTTGCTTATGATAGAGTATCAACTGAGAGGGACCTTGGCAATAGCTTGAATAACTGAGTCACGAACCTTTTACGCTCTGAACTGACGTTTCCCGACTCATTTTGGCTCACTAGCGAATCGGCGTTTCACTACACAAGCACTGGAACGGATCCCATACTACCCTAGGTTTTTCGATGACACATATTGACCATTCCGGCCACGGGGGTGGTGTGATGGGAGTGTCTGAGTGTCGGGAGATAAAGTATATATCTGCCCGAACTATCTATCCCCTTGGCCCTCTGCGGTCTGCTATCGTTCACAGTAAGCCCTCCATGAAACATCAATCAGTCCCTTAACTCCCAAGATCAACCCTTAGCACAATGACAACTACCCAATCAAGCCCAAAGGTCACGATCGAGGTGCAGCCGCCTCACATCGTCCAACTAGGCAGCGCCATCACGCCGACGGTCAAAGCCAAGCTACATCTCAGCTCAGACAGCGACCTCCGATACCAGGCTGACAGCCTGTATGCCACGGCTGTCGTGAGGGACACGAACGGAAACCCGCTCGCCGACTCAGACTACGCAGGGAGGGTGCAAGTCGAACACGAGCCGCTGCAGACCGCGGGGAGTAAAACCACGGTGGTCTATTCGTTTCCAGGTCTTTGCGTCTGGAGGGCTGGCACCTTTCGCATTCGCGTTTCGATCAACCAGTTCGACAACGCGGGGAGTGTGGTGCTCTGCCATGTTGATAGCGCGACCTTTACGGTGGATTGAACGCGACCGACCATATGTCGACGGTTTAAGGTGTAAGTGAAGTGTGCTTTCTGATAACTATTGCGATGATAACTGGTGTGTTAACCGTCCTGGGGTTATAGGGATGGGATTCAAGTCGGAAGCTGTCAGGCTCTGAGCGATGCGTTTTTATTATTATTTAGAATTTCTGAGACGGCAGCCGCATGTTCAAATGTCGGTCGCATCTTCGGATGGCTGTCGGTCGCATATTCAGGCTGTTAACAGAGACGAAACCATAACAACAGCCTGGATATGCTTTTCTTTTTGTTCGCGCCAAGATCTGATATCGTAGGTAGGAAGACACAGATTCTAATAGCAGCCTGACACTTTCATTTCCTCGCTCAGAGTGGCTGTTACATCTATAGACGTTACATACCTCATAAAGACACTGCATGTTTCAACTTGGAGTTTGCAAGTCTGGTGTGGGATGTGATTTGGGTAGACCTGACAAGTACAATCTGAGTGCGCCCCTCGTCCCCTGTTACACCCGTAGTTACTCTCCGAGCCGCTGTTCTCCCACGTGCGTCCGGCCTTACCTCATGTCTTTATCATACATCTTGGTAGGACCATTTACGACCTGTGCACTGCAAGTGGTGACAATACACATATTTATCACGTATCGGGGTCGTGTAGGAGGCTAAGCTTCAGAGAAACTTGAGTCTGCTATAGCACCCTTAGTTTGAAAATATGTGTAAAAAGGAGGCAGAAGATAGCATGGGTTATGGAAAAAGCTAAAAAGGGGTGATGGGAAAAAAAAGGGAGAAAATGGCCAAAAAATGACAGGATGCAATCGCTGTCGGGAATTGAGCCCGACGTGGGGGTCGAACCCACAACCTTGAGATTGGAAACCACATAAGAGTCTCACGCTCTACCGATTGAGCTAGCCGGGCAGGCTAGTTAATTGTTTGTTGATGTGGGGGTCGGAGATGCAACATTCATGCCCTCTTGCAGGATCCACTTGGATCAACTCAGTGGGGGGTTGTCAATGGGAAGCGGAGTGCTAACAGAGGACTGTTATTCAAGTTGGAGGGTCGGGAAGCCAATCCCCGGAAATATTATTCTCTTACCCATAGAGCACGGTATGCATACTAACCCCAGGTACCCGTGGCCCTCGGGGCGTTTCGTTTCCGGGCCTTGGTATGTAATCGAGGCAAGAATCTCGGGGCAACCACCGATTGCCCCGCGGACTGCTCCACGAACGGAACACCGCGCCTAAGAGTGTCTGTGACCCCAGCGCCATCGCAAAGGCGTATGGCTTTCCCGGTGGGCAGCCTATCGAAACCATTGCATCCTGTGCAACTGACTAGCCACCCTAGCAAGCCCGCCCCCGTAACCAAAGAAGTAGCGCTGTCCCGGAAGATAAAGAAACCCGAAGAGCTCCAAGAAATACAGGCCTGAAAAATACTGTTGTACACTCGCCATATTGCGGTAGGTATTTGCGCTGAATGCGGGGGTGGGCACAGCCTTCTGCCAGGCGACAATCCCTCCCCTCCTGCCGCCCGATTCATTCCGGCGCAGGCAATCTCTGGACGCCGCCCATCCGTCGCGCCGCTCAGGCCGCGGCGGTACTGCTGTGCCTGGGCCGCTTGCGCGCGCTGCCGGGGGCACCAGGGTGCATCTTCTCGTTGCGCTCGCGCTTGAGCTTCTCGTCGAGCACGCGGGCTGTGGGAGGGAGAGGTTAGCACGGCGACAACTCACGCCCGGCGGCGGTCCTCGGGGAGAGGAGTGGGGGGCAACATACTGAGCACGTCGTAACCGAACTGGGGGAACTCCAAGCAGAGGGCGCGGAACTCCTCCTCGGCCTCGGCGCGGAGGGTGTGGGAGCGGGTGGCCCAGAAGTTGGCGACGGGCACGCGGATGGCCGTGTCCTCGCGCGAGGTGTGCTCGTAGACGTAGCGGGCGTAGGCGATCTCGCCTATGGCGGTCGAGTTGACGCAGTGGATCTTGCTGGAGGCGAGGTTCTTGAGGTCGACGAGGCCGAACTTCTCGGCGAGCGTGTACACCTTGGCGTGCTTGAGCAGCTGGTCGCCCGTCATGTCCACCTCGGGGATCGAGGCGTCCTTTTCCAGCTTGCGCTGGCCCGGCACCTTCTTGGGGAAGTAGTCGTTCGTGTAGAGGAACTCGAGGAAGCACCCCATCGCGTCGAGGTCTTCACTGGGTAGCTCGATCTGGCGGGGCTGCGGGACACACACACACCCACGGTCAGCACCAAACTCCCCCCTCAAGCAACAAAACCGCGGGCGACCTGCCCGCGCAGCAGACATACACTCCCATCATCCGTAAACGCGGCGCATGCGTCGGCAAAGTACGGGCTCCGCACCAGCAGCCCCTGATGCGCCGTGAGGATGGTCTCGTTGTCGCCCGTCCCGATCAGCAGCGTGACCACGGGGCTCGACAGGTATTGCAGGAAGGACACGCGCTCCGGGACGGGGTCCTCGGGCACACCCTCGGCGAACGGGAGCTCGGAGCCATTGGGGTTCTCGGTGGTGGCGACGGCGCCCTCGGCCATCTCGACGTCGGCGGTGGTGGTGCTGGCGGCCGGCGCATCCTCGACCATCTCCTCGTTGAAGCTGTCCGCCATTTTCTTGTTTTTGCGACTGTTTTTGTGTACGTCGGTGGTCGGCGGCTAGTTGGTTGCTCTACTGCGCAATTGGTCGGGCGGAAACGAATGGGCTGATCGGTCAATTGGTCGATGAAGTGGTCGCAAAGTGAACTTGAAGATTAAACAAACGATTGAAGGGGTGCGGCGGGCTGCGCGTGGGGGGTTTGAGGCAAAGAAATTCGGCAGATTATGCGATTGAATCCTCTAGAACGGTAAGGGAAGGTGGGGAAGCAAAACAACAATGGCGTTCTCAGTCCGGAGCTGGGACAATAGACGCGATCACAAAGAAGCCTCTTTCGAAATTGAGACGTTGGGGTAGCTCTTCCAAGCTCCAAAAGCTCCAATGTTGAGCCTGAGGCTGTGGAGACATGGGAGTCCCAGTTGCCAGGGCACCGCAGGGGGCTTGTACCGCTGTGCATATTACATGTAAACCGTTATTACAAGTGTGATACGAATACCGCCCATGAAGTCTCAACAGCCAAGGAGCCACTTCACTCCAAGGTCACCACCAAACTCGACGATACATAGCGGGATAGAGGGCATATTCTAATTATATATTCCATTACGCCACGCTAGCAACTACTCCAGCTCCGCCGTGCATGCGAAATCCGCGCAGAACTCATCATCTAGTCAGCCGCTACACGCGACCCAGGCAAGATAGTACAATATGTAAAACACAAAACGCTGCTCCCGTTACCCCCGCCTTGAAGCCAAGTCACTCGCCAAGCGATAACTCATTGCCCCATAGCCTTCGCGCTGGCTCTCCGGGCACGGCCGCTCCGGCGGTAGCGCTCACCAAGGTCCCCCTGAGATGAACCGGATTCCTGCTGTTGGCCGCGCTCCTCGCTGCGCGCCAGCTCGTTGCTCTGGCCGAGACGCTCCCTCCAGGGCTTCCGCCCGCGTATGATGGCCTCGTCATCCGGGTGTAGAAAACGGTTGATGGTTCTGTGATCGAGCACACGCTCCTCTTTGTCGTTCTTGCCGGCCGGCTCCGTCTTGGGCCAGACGTAGCCGTACAATTTGGAGTGGCGCTCGCAGCGAGAGCAGTTCGCCCGCGTATAGTAGGCGTCTGCCTGCACAAACGCCGCGTTGCAATTGGTGCAGTGGATCCACGCCATCTCGGGCTGCGAGAGGAGGAGTGGCGTGAGAGTGTAGTCACCTGGCACGCGCTGTTTCCGGACGGGCTCTGGCGCTGGCTTCTCCGAGACTCGCCGCTTCTTTCTCTTCGTCGCGGGGGCTGATGCGACGGAGGCAGCCTCGTTACTGGGCTCTGCGGCTAGACTGGGTGCTTCTACCGCTGTCGTTTCTGCAGCCTGTCGACCGCTGCCCTCTGTTTCTTCAAGTCGCGGAGGCCCTGAGTTCGGCACGGCTGGCGCGCTGGTCTCAAGACTCTCCTCTAGAATCGTTTCCTGGGAGTCTTGCCGGGCTTTGTTTTCTGCCTCTTGAACGGGCGTGGTATGGTCCGGCAATCCGTTCGCTCCCGTGGAGCATTCACGGCCGGGACCCAAAGATGCGGGTGTGGTCGTGATGTCGAGCCCATCCTCCACAGGATCGATCTCCGTAGTAGGAAGAACTGATAAGGGTGTGGTAATCTCCGCAGGCGCGGCGTGGTCGCCATTCAATGTGCCACTCAACGCGGCGCCCTCTTTCATCGGCGACATCTCTGGTGACAGAAGCGGCTTTTCTAGCCTCGAAAATGGTTCCGGCTGCTCGGATTCGGGTGTTGTCGCTTGTGTCATAGTGCTCTTCCCGTCCTCTGATGGAGCAAGACTATCCGCGGCCCCACTGGCTGAGCTGTCCCTGGAGACCTCCACGTCCAGAGCAAGGGTACCAAGGTTGTAGTGGTTCGACTTTTGACGCTTAGCGGGTGTGAGCGGCGGCGAGCTGAGGGCCGTGCTATCAAAATTCCGCTTCGGGGGAGCTGGGGCCATAGTGAATACGTCGACGCAGTCGGAATCCGTCGTCGAGGCCCTGTCATCCGCCATTGCTCGGTTTTTCACGGTCTTATAAATGCGTGGGCGAATGTCGGGAGTGACCGACGACGTGCGAGAACCAGCGACACTAAGACTCCGCTCCCGTCTCCGGCGCCGCAGCGAATACCCTTGGTCGTCGCCACACGCGCCTTCCTCGATGCTCCTATGCACCGGTACGACACCGCCCTTGGGCTTCCAACCGTTGGCCACATTCTGCTCGCATGTCTGGCACAGGCAGTCGCAGTTGTTCTCTCCAAAATAGCTCTCGCTGTACGTGACGGTGATTTCCTCGCCCAACCCGATGTCCCTGCACGCGAAAATCTCGATCCCTGCCGCGCCGCGCGTAACGAGCCTGGCATTTGCCGCACAATCATGGTTGGCGAATCTCGCTGGTCCCATAAACAGGCTGGTCAGCTTGCTCCGGCTGCTGACTACCAGACTGAAGTCCTTCTTGCGCAACGCTAGCTGGGCCTCCTCCTCTGGCGTGACCGTTACCTGGGTGCCGGCCAAGTACTTGATCGCCTCATTTCGCCTGATGGGTCGTCTCGCCGTGATGCTCGCTTCGTATGAGTCGATCGTAAAACGGTTCGTCGCATTAACTTCGAACGGACAGTCGGGAAGGTAAATGGACATGTATCGCCGAAGATGTGCCTTGAAGTCGTCTTTCTCCTTGGGCGTCCTCAGCGCATTATGAAACTTTCTTAGGCCGTCGGTTGCTAACAGCTTTGCCTCGGCGACGGCGAGGTCCGGGTCGACGATGAGGTGAGTTTGAATGATTTTGGCAATGTCCTCCTCCCGGACGCCACGGGAAGGATGGTACAATGGGCGGTTCTTCGGAATTGTCGTCCAGTAGTAAACCTGTTATTCGTCGTGAGCGAATGGTTCCTGCCAAGCCGAGTTTTGCGTCACTTACATGGTCAATGAGGGCATCAGTCAGGATATCATCGTACGCAGCGAGCTGCGCGAACGTCAACGGCTGCTTCTTAACTGCCGGAGTTGGGGTGCGAGGCATTATGATGAGGGGGGCAGGTGGGTTGCCGCAGGTGAGGTGGAGGATTGAGAAGAGCCGGTTTGAACGTGGGCGGAAAAAGGAACGAGTGAGGATCAGTGTGGGTGGAAAGAGGCCACCCGTGCCGGTAAATAAAAGGAGTGGAAGCGCAAAGTTGGTGCGGCGACAAAGTAACGAGCGTCAGATTCTCATGCCCAGTGCGCCTTCCTCATGCGATTTCCTGTCTGAGAAATGTGTCCTGGTTGGAGTGCCGCAGCATGCACGTGCTTGAAACCGTCGACCAGCTGAATGTAATGCGAGAAGCAG